ACCATGACCAAGCCAACCAAGCCTCACAAGGCTACGGGGGCTTAAAATAGGTTCAAGGCAGACCTAGACCATGCAAAGGGGACCCCCTAGATGGCATCTAAGTGGCTCAAATTCAAAGGCATGTACAATGGCCAAAACATGGAACATGCTACACAAGCTTTCCAAGCTTCAAAGAGGTATCCAAAGCAAGCATGCAAGCATGTTATTAGGTCTGAAATTATGCTATGAATGATGCCAAATCATTAGAATAAAGCAAGTAATGCATGCTATATACTCACACACTTGAGGCCAACAAGCCAAAATGCAAAGGAGGTATATAATGCATGTCATGGCCGACCCAAACATCCTAGGACAGACCTTAAACATGGCAAAATGAGCACAAAATCTTCACAAGGTTAAGCCTAAAACATGCTAGAACAAAGGCTAACAACCTAAGGCATATTAAGGCAATAACATGGCATTACATGGTAGGTATGCTAAGCATGCATGGTGTACCAAAACCAACAATAAACAGAGGCATATTATGATATAATAGGCACAAAAAACAGCCAAGGCATGGTCAACATGAAGCTTAGCTAGATGCTCCCTCAAGAGGCCAAAAATGGTCCATTTCAAGGACAATAAGGAGAGGGGGTGGCCCTCTCCTTCTTGGGACCTCAAGGCACCATCCTCACCTCTGAAATCCCTCAAGATTTCAGTGGTGAGGAGGCCCAAACATCAAGGTCTCAGAGCTCACTCAGAATAGCACAAAATGGGGCCTTTCAAGGCCTAAGAGGGGTCAAACACCTCCAAACCACAAAACACTCTTAATGAAAAATCAAGAGGGCCTAAAAAAAGTACTTTTTTGTATTATACACCAAGCTCAAAAATGATTTTAAGATAGGTCAAACTACAATGCAAAAATGGGGAATAAAGGTGTTAGTTTCTTACCCTTGAAGACCCCTTTAACAATTGTGCTCCAACAGCTCCTTCTAGGTTGAAAACAGCTCCAAAACTTCAAAACCAACCTCTTAAAACCTCAGTAGCTAAGTGAAGGTGAAACACTATGTGTTTGTGTGCAATAGTAAGACACAAACACAATTTAACACACACAAGAGGGAGATATAGAGATAGAAAGTGTATGGTTTCTAACCCTAGAACTCAAAACCCTAAAAATGGCTGTCTAAAAAATATTTCAAGTGTCTCCCCCCTAAAGCCAAGAGAGAAGACTCTCTCTTATAGAGCCTTTTGTCTTGTAAAGCTTACAAGACAAGCTTCTAAAGAGTATACACGTGTATGGAGGGGAGCAAAAAGCAAAACAGCTGTGATAAAATATCTGCAAAAGCAGATGCACAGTAGTCAGCCGGCCAAAAATGTCATTTTGACAAAATTTAGTGCCGACCGGCAACAAAAAGTGCCGACCGGCAATACACATTGCCGATGGCAGCAAAAACCAACCGGTGACCTCTAGCCACTGCCGGTGGTGTGTGGGGATGCCTCACAAAGCATTCCCTGCCCTTCCAAGGCAAAACACAAGTGTTTGGCGTGAAACCAGACACTAAACAGTCAAGTTCGGAGATCCTGAGGCAAGGCGCGTAGCCGAGACCTCCGGGAACTCCAAACGAACACAAACATGGATAATCACCGAGTGTTCAAACGGTGACGTCCAAGTCTTGAGGACGGTCAAAAATGGGGTGTCTACACAAGGCCAAGGCCAGTAACATGCCATGCCAAGGCCAAGGTAGCCCAGCCAAAGCCAGCAGTATGCCATGCCAAGCCAAGGCCTGCAGCATCCCATGCCATGCCTAAGCCAACGCCGCCAAACCAAAGCCAGCAGCATGCCATGCCAAGGCCAAGGCAGCCTCGGCAAAGCCAGTAGCATGCCATGCGAAGCCAATGCCAGTAAGTTGCCATGCCAAGCCAATGCCAGCAGGTTGCCATGCCATGCCTAGGCTAAGGCAGCCTAGCCAAAACCAGCAGCATGCCATCCCAAGGTCAAGGTCAGCAGCATGCCATGCCAAGGCCAAGGCAGCCTAGCCAAAGCTAGCAGCATGCCATGCTAAGGCCAAGGCCAGCATCATGCCATGCCCAGTCCAAGGCAGCCCAGCCAAAGCCAACAGCATGCCATGCCAAGCCAAGGCCAGCAGCTTGCCATGCCATGCCCAGGCCAGGGCAGCCTAGCCAAAGCCCGCAACGCACCATGCCAAGGCCAAGGCAAAGCAGCATGCCATGCCATGGCCACGGCAGCCCAGCCAAAACCAGCAGCATGCCATCTCAAGGTTAAGGCCAGCAGCATGCCATGCCAAGGCCAAGGCAGCGTAGCCAAAGCTAGCAGCATGCTATGCCATGGCCAAGGTAGCCTAGCCAAAGCCAGCGGCATGCCATGCCAAGCCAATGCCAGCAGCTTGCCGTGCCATGCCCAGGCCAACGCTGCCTGGCCAAAGCCAGCAACTTGCCATGCCAAGGCTAGGGCTAGCAGCATGCCATGTCAAGGCCAAGTCTGCCCAGCCAAAGCTAGCAACAGGCCAAGCAAAGCTAAGGCCAGCAGCTTGCCAGGCCATGACCAGGCCAAGGCAGCCTAGCCAAAGCCAACAGCATGCCATGTCAAGCCCAAGGCCTAGAAACTTGACGTGCCAAGGCTAAGGCAGCCCAGCCAAAGCCAGCAGCATGCCATGCCAAGCCAAGCCAAGGCCAGCAGCTTGCCATGCCATGCCAAGGCCAAGGCCAGCAGTATGCCATGCCAAGGCCAAGGCCAGCGCCATGCCAAGCCAATGCCAGCTGGTTGCTACGCCATGCCTAGGCCAAGGCAGAATAGCCAAAGCCAGCAACATGCCATGCCATACCATGCCAAGGCCATGGTAGCCCAGCCAAAGCCAGCAGCATGGAATGCCAAGCCAAGGCCAGCAGCATGCCATGCCATGCCTAGGCCAACGCCGCCAAACCAAAGCCATCAACATGGCATGCCAAGGCCAAGGCCAGCAACATGGCATGCCAAGGCCATGGCATCCCTGCCAAAGCCTGCAGCATGCCATGCCAAGCCGATGCCAGTAGGTTGCCATGCCATGCCTAGGCCAAGGCAGCCTAGCCAAAGCCAGTAGCATGCCATGCCAAGGACAAGGCCAGCAGCATGCCATGCCAAGGCCAAGGTAGCCCAGCCAAAGCCAACAGCATGCCATGCCACGCCAATGCCAGCAGGTTGGCATGCCATGCCTAGGCCAAGGCAGCCTAGCCAAAGCCAGCAGCTTGCCATGCCAAGGCCAAGGCCAGCCGCATGCCATGCCCAGGCCAAGGCCAGCCGCATGCCATGCCCAGGCCAAGGCATCCCAGCCAAAGCCAGCAGCATGCCATGCCATGCCAAGGCCAACAGCTTTCCAGGCCATGCTTAGGCCAGGGCAGCCTAGCCAAAGCCCGCAGCATGCCATGCCAAGGCCAAGGCCAAGCAGCATGCCAAGCCATGGCCAAGGCGGCCCAGCAAAAGCCAGCAGCATGCCATGCCAAGCCAATGCTAGGAAGTTGCTATGCCATGCCTTGGCCAATGCAGCCTAGCCAAAGCCAGCTGCATGCCATGCCAAGGCCAAGGCAGCCCAGCCAAAGCCAGCAGCATGCCATGCCAAGCCAATGCCAGTAGCTTGCCAGGCCATTCCTACGGCAAGGCAGCCTAGCCAAAGCCAGCAGCATGTCATGCCAAGGCCAAGGCCAGCAGCATGCCATGCCAAGGCCAAGGCAACCCAGCCAAAGCCATCAACATGCCATGCCAAGCCAAGGCTAGTAGCTTGCCATGCAATGCCTAGGCTAAGGCAGCCTAGCCAAAGCCAGCGGCATGCCATGCCAAGGCCAAGGTCAGCAGCTTGCCATGCCAAGGCCAAAGCAGCCCAGCCAAAGCCAGCAGCATGCCATGCCAAGCCAAGGCCAGTAGCTTGCCATGCCATGCCTAGCCCAAGGCAGCCTAGCCAAAGCCAGCTGCATGCCATGCCATGGCCAAGTCCAGCAGCATGCCATGCCAAGGCCAAGGCAGCCTAGCAAAAGCCAGCAGCATGCCAGGCCAATCCAGTGCCTGTAG